GAAACTGTCAACATTATTTTTAAATGTTTTGTTCATTAATATACTATTGGGTCAATACTCCAAAAACATACCGAAAATTTAAAAAGGCAAATGCATTCTCTTGCTATGTAATGACAGTGGTGTGAACAGCTCATACACTTTATAGGTACACTTGCAAAAATGTAGTGCAAATTCCCTTTTTAAAAAAAAACACGCTGACTTATTTAGCACTAAACATTTCCTACAGATTCCTTCCTATTTAATCCCACAAATCCACATTTCTTGTTCCGCCATTGAGAATGGAGAGGAATCAGTGGACAGAAGATGAGATTCCTCCTCCTCAAGCTCAGAAATATTGCCTGCAAAATACCCAAGGAATTTACATGGGTAGATAATGACCAAAATCCAGCCCACAGCTAAGCAGGCTTAAGCATATTAACTCCTTTTTTGGTTAGAGGCCAATGTCTTTCACGTGTGCTCCTCCAGACATATTTTTCCATTGGGGGTGGAGGAATGCCAATGTGGAATGGACATTTTCCATCCTCTCTCCACCCCGAAGCAAGAAACCAAGTATTTCTGATGGTGGGAGTTTGAGTCCCATCAAAATATCTTAGGATAAATTATTTTACATGTGCAAATTTAACACAGGATCTGTTCAGAACCGAGTCTAACCAAGCAAATGTTGTTTCCTTTTGGTTGCATGAGCAAACTGTGCTTGCTGATTCAGTGATTAGAAGCCACCTGCAGCCTCACACATAAGTTTCTTCCCTTAACCCACTTCCTGTTACATGTTACCCCAGCTCCTAACTTTCATTAGATCAGCACTAATTTGAGATCTCAGGCTCAGCAGTTGTTTTCTTTTTTCTTCCCTTGAAATAGAAACTAGTGGTGAGCCAATTCCTCAATGTGAATTGATGAATTCTTTCTCCCTGTCTAAACAGCACAGATATTTCCTTTTTATATATAACTGCAAGGGGCTGCTAAAACCAGGGTGTAAGAGGAGTATGGCTGTAAGATGAAGAAAAACCCCAGTACGCTAACAGAGCCTTTTATTTGAAGTGCTACCACAACTTAAGGCATGAACTTAAGTTTCATGCTTTGCAGCAGTAGAAATAACAGCACCAATTTGTCCTGCCCACACTTCTCACAGGATTGCTTTGGCAAACAAAAGTCTCACTGCTCCTCTAACCAAGGCAACCTCTCTTTTAGGTAGCACGTGTTTATCTGCAATGGTCCCTGTTCTGACTAATTGCCCTACTTCTCACAAATGCTTTTCAATGAAACTGCAACAGTAAAAAGCAACATGACTGTGTTGTCTCCTTGAAATTATGGCCAAGGTCTGCTTCTCCAAAGGTTTTTTTCTGTTTGTTTACACAGCAAATTAAAATGACAATAATTATGTAGACATATTGGGTGAGTATGTCTCATCATGAGTGATGGACACTTGATTGGACAATGCCAGTGACATGACGATCCCTCAGTCAAGTTCTGAAAGCAGCCTCAATACCAACAGGAGTGAGGTCCGGACCATTTACTTCCTGTGAATTTGGGTTTCTAAGAAATGGTGGCACAATTTGGAGAAGTGTGACTAAATAGATATGGGCATCCGTTGATTTCTCAGAATAATCTTCTTCAGCGATCACTTGTAGCTGAGTAAGATTGTCTTCCATGAACACAACCTTAACAGTGTGTCCATAGGTGACTGTGGGGGCCAATTCTGGATCCACATGCCCTTTCACAATGGGGACGTAGGTTTCCGGGCGGGAGTTGATCATGGTGAGGGTTTGCCAAACGTGCCTTCCTCTTAGCAAGTTTCTCCCTTTTGTCCTAAGTCTGAGCGTCTTCAAAGTCCATGACACCTTTGGTAAAGGCTGTTCTCCAATTGGAGCACTCACAGGTCAGTGTTTCCCAATTGTCGGTATTTACATTTTTTTAGATTTGCCTTGAGAGAGTCTTTAAACTTTTTGTTGACCACCAGTTTTATGCTTTCCATTTTTAAATTTGGAATAGAGTACTTGCTTTGGAAGTACTTGGATAATCAGGCATCCAAACAACATGAACAGTCCAACAAAGTTGATGTTGACAAATCACTGCTTTGATACTGGTGATCTTTTCTTCTTCCAGTACATTGGCATTAGTTCGCCTGTATTTCCAAGTGATATGTACAATTTTTCAGAGACACCAAGGTGTTGTAGATGGCGTTTATAAGTGTTCCATGTTTCACAAGCATACAGTAAGATTGGTAGTACAATAGCTTTGAAAACAAGCATTTTGGTTTCCCTGTGAATGTACCGGTCCTCAAACACTCTATGCTTCAATCAAGATAAAGCTGCACTCGCAGAGCTCAGGCAATGCTGGATTTCAGCATCAGTGTTGGCCCTTGTGGAAAGAGAACTGCCCAGGTAGGAGAAGTGATCAACATTTTCCAACGTTACACCATTGAGTTGGATTTGTGGTGCTGCAGAGGGGTTGTTTTGTGCGTGTTGGTGCAGCACTTTTGGTTTTTGTGATGTTGAGCGATAGGCCAAGCTTTTTGTAAGCTTCTGCAAATATATTTAGGATAGTTTAGAGGTAATCCTCTGAGTGCGTGCACACTACATTGTCATCAGCATACTGAAGCTCTGTGACGGAAGTTATGGTAACCTTACTCTTTGCTTTCAGCCTACTCAAATTAAAGAGCTTTCCATCTGTTCGATATATGATTTCTACTTCAGTGGGGAGTTTCCCTTCGACAACGTGTAGGATCATGGCAATGAAGATAATAGAGTTGGGGTGATAACATAACCCTGTTTAACACATAATCCCACTGTGAATGGTTCATTTTAGAGCCATTGTTATCTGCGATTGTTGCTGTCATATCATGGAGGAGCCAAACGATGCTCACAAATTTATTTTATTTTCAGAAGGACAGTCCACAGGGCATTGCAATTTACACTGTCAAAGGCCTTAGTCAGGTCAATGAACTCCATATACAGAGATTGGTTTTGCACTCTGCATTTTTCTTGAAGCTGTTGAGCAGTGAAAATCATGTCCACTGTTCCCCTAGAAGGTCAAAAACTGTTTTGGGATTTGGGAAGGGTAGCCTCGGATATAGTTAGGAGACAGTTTGCTAAGATCCTTGCAAGAATTTTGCAGCTAATAAAGAGATGCCTTGATAGTTTCCGTAATCCGTTCCATCACCTTCTTAAAACAAGGTTGATAATTTTGGCATCCCTATAGCCTGCAGGGATCTCTTTTCTCTCCCAAAATTTTTCGATGAGCTTCTGAAGTTGCTGTGTAAGTTCAGTTCTGCCCACTTTGAAGACTTCGGCAGGTATCCCATCAGGTCCACTGACTTTGTTGTTTTTCATTTGGTTAATAGTTGGACACAACTCTCCCAGATTTGGAGATACTGCAAGCTCATCTCTAATTTCTTTTTGGGGTATTTATGAGAGGACCTCAGCAGCTATGGGGGAGTTGCAGTTAAGGAAATGCTGGTAATGTTATTTCCAGTGCAATGCAATAGCTTATTTATCTTTTAGAAGTGTGGTGCCATCTGTTGATCATAGGGATCATATGCCATGATTTACTGGCCCATAGATGGTCTTTGTGGCTTTAAAGAAACTCTGTGCATCATGAGTGCTGGCTAAGTGCTGGATCTCTTGAGCTTTTTTTATCTAGGTGTTATTTGCTTCTCTGGTTCTTCTTTGAACCTCAGCCTTAGTGTTGGCATAGGTTTTTTCCTAGTGGTGCAGTTTCTATCTCTTTGCCAGGTCTGAAAGGCCTTTTTCTTGTCAATAATGCGTTCAATCTCACTATCATTATCATCAAACCAGTCCTGGTGTTTCTTGGTCTGGTATCCAATAGTTCACAGGCTACAATAATGGATGTTTTTAGCTTGGTCTAGTGTTCCTCAGTGTTATCAGGGAACTCCAAAAGCAGATGGTCTTTAAGAGTCGTTTGGAAGCAATCCTGCTTAATAGGATCTTGAAGGGCTTGAGTGTTCATTTTGTGCGTTGGTTTCCTTCCTTGAAGCCTGTGTTGAGTTATAATCTTGATAGCCATCATGGAATGTATTAATCAGTGATCTGTCCAGCATTGGCACTTGTCATATCTCTGGTAAGGAGCACTTTGCAACGATATTCAGCTCACAAAATTACATAGTCTAAGAGGTGCCAGTGGTTCAACCAAGAGTGCCTCCATGATGTTTTAAATTTATTTATTTTTGTTGAAAGAGTGTGTTGGTAATAACAAGGTTGTGCACTGCACATATAGTCAAAAGTAAGATTCTGTTCTGGTTGCTGTTGCCAATTCCTTCTTTTCCAATAGTCCCAGGCCACAGGTTGAAATCCTGCCCAGCTCTTGCATTAAAATTACCCACTCATCACGACAAGGTGATGTTCCAGCGAGTGAGGGAAAATAATAGCTGTACACTGACAAGATGGTATAAGCGGTGGGGTGGATGTATAGTTGTGTCACTGATCACTAGTGACATCACAGGCACTGTCCAATAAGTACTGTTGATGATGCACTGCGATGTTCTACATGCATCTCAATGGCAACAATTACACATTTGCCCAGGGACAAAGTATTCTCTTTTGAGGACAGAAACATAGGATGCTATTCAACCAAGCTTTACCCAGAGTAGCCCTATTTAAATTAAAAGACCTAACTTAGTCATGTTCATTCATTCATTTCTATGGATCTATCAACACTTCATGCATCAGCACTGGTGATCACATGCTTGAGGTGGTAGACAATTTTGTCTACCTGTGTTCCACTATATCCAGTCACCTCTCCACTGATGCTGAACATAATTAATTATGACTAAATTTGCATCTATGCATATAATTCCCATACACATATTTTATACAAATCTGCCCCCACTTTGTTTTGCCATGTGTACATTGTCATCCATCTAGCCCAGTACTATTTTACTAGAAAAAGACATGCCAGAACTCACCATGAACACCTCCCTTGTTCTCTTAGAATGGCAATGGAGAGGTGCCAGAACCCACCTGAGGTTCCGGAACTTAGTTCTGGAGAGTTCCAGCTGAAAAAAAGCCCTGATCTAGCCCAATATTGTGTTATTCTGACAGGCAACAGATCTAATGGATCTCAGGCAGTGGGCTTTCCCATCATCTGCCACCACCTTTAAAAACATACACACACACACACACACACACACACACACACAACCTGGAGATAACAGGAATTGAACCTGGGCTATTTTTGCCATGCAAATCATGTGCTTTACCACTGAGATATGGTCCCTTCCATATACACAGAAGCACCAGCCTGATGGAAGACATTTGAACCCCAGACAACAAAATCCCAGGCACACCTGTATGAAAAAAAAAAGTGTGGAAGGGTACACAATGCTCAAGCAAAGTGAAAATAGAGCATGCAACTTTGATTGAGGAAGCACATAATACTGAGTGAAAAGGTCAGGTTCTGGTGTTTCTATGAAGCAGTCTTCATCTCTCTCGATTCAGAATTGGTACATTCCAGTGCAAACAGACAGCTTTCAAGAGGAAAGAGGGCCTGAGCATTACTTCTTCCTTTTAAACATTGAAGAAACAAGAGAACTTGGATAAGTTAAGAAAGGAGCAGGGGTCATATTGGGACAAGAGCAGCAGCCAACTACCTGGCTAAATGGGCTTGTCAGAAAGGATGGTGGAGTGACTATGCATGAGGAGAGAACTCTCTCACTCAATTGATGTGGTGCTTTCCAACCAAATTATTCAGCCCATGACCTTGATGGCCATCCGGCAAGCAGCTGCGGTATCTACTCTCTTTCGCTATTGCAGGTGCAGTTAGCAACAGTTGGATCTCCTGCTTGGGTGAGTTTACTTCTCAGCTTTATAACAAAATTAAATCACAAAAGGAACATTTATAACACTATGTACTCTCTAAGTGGCTTGCAGACAGCAAGCACATAGTAAGGGCTCGTCCACTTCCTTCTGCTCAACCACTAGGTTTGCATAGTATTTTTTCCCCCCTGGAACAAAAATTCTTACAAATTGTGAAGTCAGCTGTGTGGACTGCCCAGGGCATGCACTTGAACTCAGTGGACCAGTGGGAGTCAGTATAAGTTAGAACACCCACAAGACTAAGTGGAAATCCTTGCACTGATGGGATACATTACTCAACGCTCCTTTGGATGCAATCCAAGGAAACCAACAATTAAAGCTTCCTTCTCTTCACCCCTTGTGAGAAAGGAATCTATCTGACACTGGGGCAATAAACAGAAGCTGTTCAAAGGGTAGAAATTATCATGGCTTTTGGCCAACACAATTCATTACAGCTCCAGCTCCACCCTCCTCTACCTTTCAGACCAACCACCACGTAACTAATTGGTGCCATTCTGCTGCTATTTGCTAGAGTGCAGAAAGGGGAAATATCACAAACAAAAAAGCATGCCAAATCTCACAGCTTGCGTTGTCTTTATTACATTACCTTACATTCAGAGCTTATGCTGATTAGAATAAAGCAAGCCACTGATGATGACCCATGATGATTCAAGACCCGCACCCCACTGACCTGGCTGCTTCCCTGGCTTCATCTGTTTAAAGCCACGTAAGCTGTTCTTCTATCTTCTTGTTGCTAAGGCTTATCCCAGCGGGATCCTGCTCCTCTTAAATCTTTCTCTGTAAAGTCACTCGAACTGTGGCATTCCAAGAGACCAAGAAACAGAACTGCAAGGAAAAACCTAACTGTATTCACAGGAGGGCACAAAGTGCTAGAAGTAAAACCTAAATAGAAGCCAAGGTGAACCTTTATTTCTCCTGGTCTACAAAAGGCAAAAAAATAAATAAATTGGATTTCTGTGAAACCCAAATCAGATCACAACAAAAAATATTTTTCTCATATTGGTTCGTGGTGAGGGTGTGAACAACAACAACAACAACAACAAAATAATGATACAGTAGTACCATCTGTCACCATCCCCAACAGAGTGAATCACAAGTGCATAACACAAGAGCTTCAGTGCTTAGCTGTTTAACTGACGTCTTGGTTTGGTCCAACAGAATGACAATTTGGGAAATAATCATTTTTCTCCATAAGGCTCAGGGGTCTAATTAAGGCTAAAGACCCAATAAACAAAAATATCTCAGCAATGAAGGACAGAGGCAGGTGATGCAATGATTTTAATGATTTCAACGGATGCATTTTAGCTTCTGGATGATTTGATACTTTTAAGCCCTTACAATGTGGAAGAATATTCATGTTCAGCAGCCATCGGACCTATTACTTCTTGCCTTTTCTCCTGTCCTCTTACCCCAAGGTATTTCACACTGCAGTATTTCTTGGGAAATGGGATAAGGACAAATGGACAGCCACAGCAGGTCAAAGCACAGTTGTATAGAAGGGAGACTCCAGGAGATCAGACTTAGGAGGGCCATATGATCAGGGTATCTATGAGACATTCTCTCCTTCTCTGCTGAGCGCATGCACCAGGGATAGAACTATCTCTCCAAAAGGCTGCCCTTCATTTCCATGCTTCGTATGTGGATACCTTGCCTATGCAAAAACAACAAGTGCACATTTTAAAAGGGAAAACAATCTACTTAGCATATTGGCCGCTTAAGGCTGCAGGAAGCAGCAGTTGCAGCCGGCCACAGACCACAGCTGCAGGCGCCCGTCTGGTATCTGGGCAGCCAAAGGATGGCATCATTTCCTCTTCCACCAGCCGCTCAGGATTCTAGGGGGTGCCTGTGATTTTGACTAAACATGGTCAAGCATGGAGGTGTGACCTGGGGACACAGAGGAGATTGATGACGTCTGTCTAGTCTGCTCCTTGGACATAAAAAAAAGCCATGCTGGGGTTCCTCTTGCAGTTGGAGCTCCGGCTCCCCACTCGCCACCTGTAGCTCTATGTGTGGGTCTGCCTGTCTTAGACCTTGCTATGAAAGTATTCAGTCACTGTATTTGGGGCCAGGGAAGAATTTGCCTTCAGAGAAACTGGGCCCGTCTGGGGGTTTTGCCTCCCTCGCAGCAATCATGACAACTTGATGGTGGATAAGGCACTGGGGTTTATCCTTAGTCTGGTTGAACAGCGGGTTGGAACCTCCACCACCAGCAGCTGGTCCAGGGAAACAGGGTATCCCCTTAAAGGATTGTGGAGATGCTTCTGTCCAAATGCCCAGATGGAGGTGAGCAAGCCATAGATCCACCCAGGTGATTTCGGGCAGGGTCACCCTGATTTGGTCAAACCTGCCAATATAATCAACCAGGATACACTCCCAATGCCTGCACCGAAACCTGTTGACACAGCTTCAACTTTCTTGAAGCTGTAGCCTATTTAAATCCCAAATGGTAGCCCTGTGTTTACTGCAATTCTGCCAGCTGTAGAGCCCACAGCTTCTGGCTTCACTGTGGCTGAGGCCCATCATAGCTTTTACCACATTGCTCAGGCTTTGCGTGGAGGTATCTGTTTGTTTAAATGAGACTGGGTGGGTTTTAAAATAGCCTGGTGTTTAGCAATAGAAGGAAGTTATGATAAAAACAGCAGAGTATGATACGAGAAGTGTAACAGATGGCCTTCCTCTATGTAACTAGCTTCCCCCAGTTTTCTGTTTCAGGGCATTGAAATTGCAGACTTGCAAACAGCCATAAAGCAGAAGAGATCAAGCCAAACACAAGCCTCGCAGGGTCACTGTTGGGAACAGGATGCTGCACTGGATAGACTCTAATAGACTGCAATCCTTTGCACACTTTTCTGGGAAGAAGGCCTACTGAACAGCATGGGACTTACTTTGAAGTAAACATGCATAGGATTGTGCTGCTAGTCTATTTCAGCAGGCTGTGCTAGATGGTAGACAAGCAGACCAACCCAAGGAAATTAAAACTGCAAGGTTGAAAACCAAAAACAATGAATACTTCAGAATTGTGATGTCTCAAAAAAGAGAAAGAGCAATATTTTTCAAACCTCGATAAAACTGACACACAAATCCCTTCTAAACTTGAGCCTCAATAGCATAGCCACACAGAGTCTATGGCTCCTGCTTGACTTTTTCTGCCTGTGACCAAACCCCACACGCAAACATCATGGCCACTTTGCCTTCCTGACTTTTGCACATGCCCAATATCATGCCAGTTATACATATTTATATTGACTTCAATAAAGTCATGATCTTTGCTTTGTAACTGAACCTGCATTGGCTGTATATAGACCTAAAAAAGGTAAAGGTAAAGGACACCTGACAGTTAAGTCCAGTCGCAGATGACTTGGGTTGTGGCACTCATCTCGCTTTACTGGCCAAGGGAGCCGGTGTTTATCCGCAGACAGTTTTTCTGGGTCATGTGGCCAGCATGACTAAGCCGCTTCTGGTGAAACCAGAGCAGCGCACGGTGATTCAAAACACAAGTGGGGCAAAAAAGAGGAGCAAGAAGTCAGCAGGCTGCTCTTCTTGCCCCTCATGGGTTTTAAGTAGCAAAATTCATGGGGGAAAAACAGCCAGTCTGGTCGTGTTCTAAGAGGGCTGTGTTCCACACTTCTTGGTGATACAGCACATGCCTTGCCTGCAGAGGGTTCCAGTTCTGACTTTGGCACCTCCAGCTAAAAGGATCTCAGGTAGTAAGTGATGGGGAAGGCTTCCATCAGAGACCCTGGAGAGCTACTGCAAGCCAGCAGAGTCCGTGAGGAGCTAGGTGGACCAAAAGGGATGGGGAGAACGTTCAGTTCACATTTTAATGCGAACCTGCCTAAATGGGCACTTTCTGAACCAATACACAAATCAAAACACAGCTATCCTTCAAAATGCACACTCCTCTGAATTGTGTGACACAGTCCTTCAAACAAAAAACTTACCGTATATTATGAGCCATTGGGAGAAATGTGCACTAAGATGTTGGATTATTTGATTGTTTGATTATTTGATTGTTGTTAGCCGCCCTGAGCCCGGCTTTGGCTGGGGAGGGCGGGATATAAATAAAATTTATTATTATTATTATTATTATAAGATGCTTGTGAATTTTCATGAGGAGCATTTTTTAAAAATCACAAACTGGGAATGTGGTAAACTCAATTTAAGACTGAGAAAATGCGAGAACTCCATATCAACAGATTTGTCTATCCCTAATCTGGCCTGATATAAGGCAACAAGAAAATATGAGTTTAATAACTTTCCTAGGAAAGTGAAGATATCAGGGATATCATACTATCTAAGACTAGCTAGCCCTCCCATCCAAGATGGAATGGCAACTTCTCTCAGTTCTCTAGAAAACAACTAATGCAGGCTTACCTATTTCTCTTGTGTGCTAGTGGCCCCTTCATAATTCAATTACCAGTGATTTATCCTGTCTCTACAACTGTGAACGCATACTTTATTTCCCCTCTGGCTTTGCAGGAGAAGAGGACAGCATGCCAAAACCTCGTGCAGCAGATATACTCAATTCCTGCTTTGGGAAATGCTCGGGTTTTCATCCACCAGAGCTGCAGTTGTTGAAAAAGGAAAGCAGAGTGCATTTTTTCCATTTCACAGGAGTAACAAAGTATTCATCATAAACATTGGTCTAGGTTGCAGGCTATAAAACATGGAGTTCAGCTGACAGAATGCCTCATAAACTTCCCAGTGCTGAGATCTAGAAGACTTTTGATTTACTCCGTGTATCTGAACTGAGACAAGCTGCAGCACACAGCACATTTCACCCTCTCTGCCTCTGGATTCTTTCAATGACGCCGAGACAACCCTCTTCCCCACCCCCTTGGCAGAGCAATTTTTTAATTATTAATTCCTACGGTGGTGCTGAGCCGTTTCCTTTGTCCGGCAATAACCGTGCCCTGGTCTCTCTGTGGTGAATGAGTTTTGATGTGGAATGTGGTTTGCAGAGAAAGGTAAGTTTCCTACCATGTGACTCCCCATGTGGAATCTGACATGGAACAACTGGCTGGGAAGACTGCATCAATGCAGTGGTTGAGTATCTGAATGATTCCTCCTCCTGCCTACCTGACATTTGAGGCTGGGAAATGTGACCTGCCTTCCTGACTCTTTTCTGCCAGGTATACCTCTCAGTTACGAAAGACTCAATCCCACATCACTGTATTTCTAATGCATTACATTGTTATCTCATCCTCCTTCCATGGAGTCCTAATTTTGTACCCAGTGAGCACAAATTTCAAAAATGTTTGGCCTGCTCTCTGCTGCAGCAGCATAAGTTCCATCCCTGCCTGGCATCTTCAACTGAAAAAGACATGGTGGCATATGATAGGAAAACTGTCTCTTCCTGGGACACTGGAAAACTGCCAGTCAGAGTAGATAACTCCTGGTATAAGGCTGCCTCCTGTGTTACTATGAGAGAGCTGTTCTGTCTTCCATGATCTTCATTTATGCAATGATACCAGGTTGCTGCAGACTTGCAATAGAAGGGAGCAACACTCTAGGAAGGAAATGAGAGGAAAAAACCACTAGGAACAACATTTTTTATAAAATCGGACCATTTCCATAAAACATTCAGGTTTGTGAAAATGTCCTCTTTCGATTTAAATAATATCAGTCCTCCCTTACCACATGAACAAGCGCTCTCAGTGCACGAGTGGCACAGAAATATTCTGAGTTATACCTGCTGCTGTTCACCCAAATTGCCAGTCACGTGCAATGTGAGGCTGTACCAGCAACGGATAGTTTGAGATGAAGGGTTGGAGTAAGATAGTTCCATCCAAACCACCAACATGTTCAAGCGCAACTTGTGATCTGTTGCAGCTTGATGTGCTGTCATATTTCATCACCGGAACAACGTTTCTAAAACTTTGTAATCTTGTTAGTGAGATGTTCAGTTTGTTTGTGATCTGTGCTGATTCATCTCCTGACCAGGCAGTCCTTCCTGCTATCTGGCACGCATCATTCTCAGCCTGAGAAACCCATCTGCATGGTTCCTGAGAACCACTGGCAGGTCCCCTCTCACCACTAAGAAATGTGCCTCAATCCCCTTGCACTGAGCTATTGTGGTATGTATTGTTGTACTAATCCTCTCATTCTGACTTCTCAGCGCATTAATCCACTGTGGCATGTGTCCACAGACACCTTATGTAATGAGCCAAAAATAACTATCTTCTGTCAAGCTAAATTTCCCAGGCCTGGCGCATCCCACAAGCTAGGATCCTCATTCTAGGCTCTCCTCCTCCTAACCACTAGACCTCCAAACCACATATAGTGTCATGTGCCGTATAAGGCTGCCTGTAGGCTTTTCTGTCTTGAGAGTCTCTGCAGAACTTAAAAATGAAATCTCTAGTGATGGTGAAGATTCATTAGAAACAGAGAAAGTGGAACCGGGATGCAAATAAAAAGAAGGCAAATATGGTTTTTCAAATTTCATTATTTTTATGCCCATTACATTGTTTTGCATGAAGGCTAATTCCAGCATTGGAACATGAACCTGTGCTCAGACCTAAAATAGGTGATGTAATGACAAAAATAAAAAGGCTATCTGAAATTGCAAATTGCCCAGCCCCATGGGGCTTCAAGATCTTCATGAAATTATTTTAGCAGTTTTTGCATATAACATGACTGTTCAAAGCAGCAATAATTCACCTGGGAGGCAGGGGCAGCTTGCAAACCCTTGGGGTTATCTGAGTTTCAAAGGTGATTTCCAGACATGCTTGAATCCAGCCCCCTCCTTTTTTGGAACCTAAGAGCACAAGTGTGAGTAATAATTCCCAACTTCTTTCTATTTCACGCACGCCTCCATTCATCAGATTAGCACCAGACCCCAACCAGTCATTATCGTCATGTAAATTCTGTGGACTGCCTGCTTCTAAACCATGTAAAGCCACGATTGCTCTTGACTCATGGAGCATTTCCATTGTGTGAGGTCTGACTTCAAATTGCTTTCTCAACCTGACAGTCAATCCCAGTTTCCTCCCTGAGTCAGAAGCTGAAGAAACACTGTCTGGAGGTTCCTCGTTAGCCCATCTCTACTCACTCCGGTCCTGTTAGGCATGGTTTCAGTCTGCTCCTCCAGCCTTACTCATGAACCGAGTTCCTGGCTTGTGCGTTCAGGAAATGTACTAGGCAGGAAATAGACTGGGAGCCATTTCCTTTCCTGTGGGGGAGGGAGGTGATGATGAGCCTACAGAGAGGGTGGAGCCGCACATTAACACAGCTGGAATATAGAGAGCTGCATGGTGCAAGGATGTTATTCTTGGGTCGTGGGAGGAGAACGATTGCCAGCAAGGAGGCTCCAGTGCCTTGGGCAACAGCACAACCAGCCACTCCCTTGGAAGAGAGTCATTGTTTCCTATTTCTGCATAGCAATGAAGCACCCACTTTCAAAGATCAGCCCAACAAGCAGACAGGATTTGATCTGAGAGCTCTCCAATCCAGAGACCTCAGTTTCTGAATAGCGATGAACATGAGTGGGTGGGAATGTAGCAGTGACCTTTCCAGGCCACTTGGAAGAGACACAGTGGGGAAAAGGATGGAGGTGATTTGTGTGCGTGCCTGTTCCCTGGGCTCTCCTGTCTCTCCTTTGGCTGGCAATGACACGGGGCTCAAGCTCCTGGAATTTTATTGCAGATCTTATCAGTCTAACAACTCACTGACTGAAGGACAACAAGAGCATGTAGTACTTTCCTTTTTTAAAAAACAACAACCTCCGATTAAATTGTAAACATGTGATGGTTATTAACATCAAACCAGTTTGATTCCACTCACCAAATGACAGCCAAATCAAGAAAGCAGAGATGGCCAATGTTTTATGTGTCTTTTTTAAAAGAGCATTTTATTGATCTTTTAGTAAAATAGCATCGATCAAGTCCAACAAAACCTCTAGAGTGTTACATGCTTATATCAGTCCAATATAAGGAGGAGAAAAATGAGCGAGGGCACTGTCAAATTACTGGCTCATTGAATATATTGCCAAGGCTTTAACTATCTGTGACACAGCCTCTCCATAAGTAAGCAAGAGTGGCTGGAGGTCTTACATCAATGTCACTTCTGCTTACATAATTGATATGTGGGGGATCAGGCCAATGGCCCATCTAGTCCACAGTGGACAACTGGGTGCCTGTGGGAAACCCCCAAGCAGGATTTGAGCAGAAGAGCACACACACACACCCCTTTCCCCTGGTTGCCTGCCACTTCTATTCAAAAGTACTGCTGCCTCCGACTGTGGAGGCAGAACATAGCCATCATGGCTACTTGCCATTGATAGCCCTCCTGTCTAACCCCATTTTAAAGTATTTTTGCATTCCTGCACTGCCCCATTGTGGACTTATAACATTTAAAAAATTAAAATTTTAATTGCCTCACTTGATCCGCAAGGGTTTTTGCATTAAAAAGAAAGTTCACTATACACACTAAACAACAACCTGTCATTGCAATAATGGCTGCAATCATAAGCACATTTACCCCAAAGCATACTGAATTCAATGTGGCTTTCTTTAGAGCATATATGTTCTGTATTCTTCACTGTTGGGTAGAAGAAGGTGTTCCTTGCCAAGCAGGGCTAAGAATCTTCTGAAATTTCCCCTGCTAACCTGTCCTTCCCCTTTCTTTTTGGCCTCTGGCTTCCCTAGAGGGGAAAGGTGGGAAACCTGTGGTCCTCTGGGAGTTGCATGACCTCCCATGAGGCAGCCCCAACAAAGTCAGTGGTCAGACATAATGAGTGTTGCAGTCATAAGTTTCCCGTCCCTGCCTTAGTGATAGTGAGTTGCCCAAGGGTAGATTTCTGAGTGCTCATTCATTACCCTATGACTACAGCACGCAAGTGAGGACTTGCATGCAGAGAAGAGACATCACAGGTTTGACAGAGCCAGCATACCCTTAAATATAGGACTTCATTTATTCTGATCATTTGCATGCTCACCTGATAGTCGAGTGATAACAAGAGGTATACCATCATGTATGGATCGGCCATAAGACCATGCAAAAAATATCCATAGCTGAGATGAGCGTGCAAAAACCAGCTCTAACAACAACTACAAGGCAGCGCATTTTGTTTCAGGACCTACTAGCATCAATGGCTGGGGCAACCCATTCAGATGGGCAAGGTACAAATAAAATTAACAACAACTAGACATGACATCACAGATCAGATCTCTCGGTGTCTTTTTCTTTATTTAATTTTTTTTTCCGCCCTTCATCGTAAGATCTCAGGATGGTTAACAGAATAAAATACAGGATAAACAAGTATATAAGTTATTATTAAAAGCAAGTGGGGAA